GGGCAGCGTGACACTGTGCGAGAGGGCGGGACAGCGCAAGGGCGCTTCGGGCAGGAACTAGCGGAACGATCGGTAGGCCCTAAATACCTAACATGTTTCCAGCTCTGAATACCATGTTAGATTCAACTGTGCAGGAATGGATGAACTATGAATGAGTTGGGTACAAGTACTAACCCAAAAGTGTTGTATCACTTGTAGGCTAACCCACTATAGCCTAGAGAGAACACAAACATACAGTTTGACAGTGAACGTCTACGTGCGTGCCTCGGTGGCGAGGATGCAGCAGCGAGGGAAGCAGCAGCAAGCCAGGTGGCAAAAAAATGACGGGAGCGTGATCTTTTGAAACGCATCCAGAGTGGTGGATGGCAAATGTTGGAAATGGTCCAACAGCTTCGTGGCAATTTGGGGCAAGCCACGCAGGCCCCGGATCCATGTCTGAGGATCGGAAATTCTGAGGCGGGTCTTCCTGTCTCTTGCGCACAGTTACGACTGTTTATGCGTTGTACACTTATGTTCAGGCCCTCAGATTGGTTTTGGGCTAGTCTGAAAATTCAGAGTTGGTACATGACTTAACTCTGGAAATCAGAGTTTTTCCTGCAGAAATACCACTGCACACTAGAAAAAGTCGCATTTTTCCTGGGTTTTCTAAAAAAAGGCTGAATTTTCAGAGTTCACTTCGAAAAAAGGCTGGAATATCAGAGTTTTTTTAGGCAAATCAGAGAAATTTCTTTGACTTCTGGGGGCCTGCTTATGTTCTTGTGTATAATTCATATAAGCAAAGAAAAAAGTATTGAATTTGTTTTTGGTTAGCGAACTTGACACGCCCTAAGATGGTTCGCTACATCTGTCCAGGGACTCCACAAAGGGAAAATATGTAATTCGTAACCAACATGGACTCGATAACATTTTTGGTAAAACAATAAAGGGTACGCGGTCACTGCAAAGGGTGTTTTCACGCGACTGATAAAACTTTTCACGTAATCACTCACTATCAAATCGTAAAAAAAAAAAAATGTGAATGGGCATAGATGAAAGTTCCGCCAAAACAAAATGAAACCCAAAAGGAACCTGGATGCATTTTTCGGATGAATCAACCCTAAACACGTAACTCGCCAGTTGTTTAGGGTTGATCCGTTCCCAAACCGCATCCAATTCCGATTGGGTTTTAGTTTTTTAGAAGGTAGCAGATTGGTTGAGTGCAAGCGGGAATTTTGTTGAGTTTCAAGTTTTTTTGGCGGGAGTTACAGGTGTGACCAGGGCTGACTTTTCGAATAAAACCACTCTGATTTTTTTGGCCCCCCAATTTTTTTTAGTCTGAGGCCCATTTTCCAAAAAGTGAATACTCTGATTTCTCAGGAACCAGAGAAGTATAACTCTGAAAATTTTATAATTCATAGACTAAGGCAGGTTTTCCTACTAACGAACCCTTTGCACAAGTTCGGAGGGATGGGTTTTCCTCGAAGTAACAAGTATGGCGAAGGGGAGTTCGCACTCTGTAGTATGAAAACTCATTATCCGGTAAGCAAGTTCTCTGAATTTTTCAGTATCGAAAAAACCATTAGTCTGAAGCACTCATTTTTCAAAACCAGCCAACTCTGAAAAATCAGGAATGTCAGGAAAATAGTCTGAAATTTCAGACAATCAGACTAAAATAGTCTGATATCGTCAGCCCTGGGTGTGACCATTCGCAAGTTTTTTTACCTGTTGTTAGTGACTGAATCTGTGACCCCACTTACCAAACCCGTCAGAAAACCTGATACAGCGACCATACGCTTTTTTTTTTTACCATTCACGTTATCGAGTCCCAAGTTGTTTACTTATGGCATATTTTCCCCTCCACAAAAGTCGAATGTTCCATAATATAAGATGTACAGTGTAGAAACCAAACCTTATTTGTTTGGAGATTTTTACAGCGATAGGTTGTTTTTATAAATCTAGATGAATTTATTTAAGATGGCATGATTGTATGTAAAATTCATGCTATACTTTTGAGACCAAAAGTAATTAGTTGTGCATTGGTGGCTCCTCACATTTCTAATGGCTTACAGTGCAATAAACAGTTAGTTTGTATGTACGCCCTCAATGGGGTTTCGTAGGCACACCTGAAATTCGAGAGCTGGAGCGCAGCTGCCCAGTATAACACATAATATTTCATACCCAAGGACATGCCCCTACCTCCGTGTCAGATAAAATTATACTTACGACACGAAATTAGGGACGCACCCTAGCGGTTCCCTCTATAGTCACACCCTCTGGATTGCCTCTTAGCACGCCACAAGAACTACGGACTTGGAGAAGGCCTGAAAAATGAGCCCACGCCACTGATGGTGCCGCGAACAGTGTCTTCAACGGCTCCGCCAATAGCGCGTCCAATCCCACTGCGGCGGCTCGTGGTGCTCGCTGCGGGAACCAGGTCCGGGGGGATGAGCAGCGTGCTGGTTCCCTGGATCGTGAAGTCCGAGCCTACCCACAGGTTCGGCACGACCAGAGCCGTCGGCAGCTTCGACCCGCCTTGGAACGTGACGATTGGCCGGCCCTTGGGGCCACGCTTCGCGACAAGGTTTCCCTCGATAGTGTCGATCTCGGTGCCGGGGGGAATATCGGTGAGGTTGCGGAAGAGGTAGCGCGTGGCGATCGTGTTGTAAGAGAGAATTGTTGACTGTTGGTCCTTGGTGTAACTCCGAAGCGCCGCGATGTTCGCCGGGAGCAAGATGGTTATGTCCGTTAGAGGGATCTTCGATTTCACTGTAAGAAAGGGAAGGCGTCGAAGGGCATAGACACATTATGAACATCGGGGTTAGGGAAGTTCTGGCGAAGGCTTGGCGAAAACAGAAGGCGAATGTTTGGCAGGAAGGAGAGGGAGATAGAAAAGGGAGATTGTTGAAGATAGGATTCCTTGAGTGAGTGACTCGATTTACGCCTGCTGGAACTTACGATAGTCGTCGACGAATTTGTGGATGCCTTGGTACGCCGGGTGTTGCGAGATGCCGTTGACGGCTCGATCTACCTCCTTTGTTCTAAGAGCGGAAACTTGACTGACGTTGTGCCACAGCAGGACGATCATCGCTAGGAGAGCTACACGATGGAGCGATCCCATTTTCAAAGCTGGTTACGGGCTGAGAAACTATGGAACCACAATATAGCACGAAATGTACCTAATTGGCCTTGGTTTTGCGAGGAGCGTCTAAGGAAGCGCTACCCTGAGGCTAAGCCGAGGGGAGTTATGAGGTGCGGAAGGGGAGAGCGAGTAATGGAGTACCAGGAAAACTGGTAAACAGGAAATGGAGAACTGGAGAGAAGTGGAGTACAGCGGTAGAGATTGCCGTTTGTGATGGTGATGAATGATGATGATGCTGGTCGTCAAACTGTTTTTGAAGTGCGATTGAGAAACTCGAGTCGCGTGCGACAGAATGTGCTGATCTGACGAAATCGCAGGCAAATTTTGTCCGAGTCGCTGCAAGGAAGGCTCGTCGCAGGGCCAATGAAGCTCCCGTTGCGCAGGGTGTGAGGCTCCGCGCCTGAGTTCGTGAAACAGTGTTCCATCACGCGGTTCGTAGAGTCGCCTGCGTCGCTTGTCGGTTCACGACGGGTCACCGAAATCCGCCCAGAGAAAACCGTCGGTTACTCTGCGAAAGAATCCCGCAGAATGGCGAGACTGTCGGTCAGCAGCTGGCTGGCGTGGCTTATCGCATTGTCGTTTCTGCTGGACGACATTCTGGCGAATTTGAAATGCCCTGCCTTGCGAAAGTATTGCACTGCACCGTGCCATTCCATTGGCGGGGTTTGCTTCAGGCCTTAGGACGTGTCACGGTTTGCCTCTGATCGGCTGTGATCTGGTCAGGGCTGATCTGATCGGGATTTCCCGATTACTGTGCTTGCGCCGCCCGATCAGATGAGAAATTCCTCGAATGTTTTACAAGGGTCCATGGCAAGCGTGTCACCCTTTCCAAACACTTACGCGCCCGCTTTGGCGAGGGCGAAGTCCTCAGCCTGTATCTAACGAATTCATTGTTTCCCTGTCATTTCGCGTGAACAGATGCCCAGAAACGCTGCAGAGGATGGTTTCGAAAGTTCTCGGCAGGGTGGTTGTTTGAGCGAGAGCTTCACGAAACCCAGCACAACATCGTAACTTCTCGCTGGCGTCGCTTGGTACAACCAAGCCAATGCAATCAACTGATCGTCGGTGATTGTGTGGGGTTGTGTTCGATTGGGCTGATTTAGGCGGTCGATGGAGTTGGGGCAATCAGCTGATCGCGATCAGGTGATTGCCCCCGATTGCCAGAAATGGCCTCCCTAGCTTCCTGGAAGTTATTATTCGACTGAGATCGGGGCAATCAGAGGCGAACCGTGACACGTCCTTATGGGGCCCAAGTGAACCTCTGTACGCGATGTAAAGGGACCTAAAACTGTAAAGACAAATGCGAATTTTATCTGTATGAAACTGTTATGTCATCTGCCATGCCAACAGAAGTGACATCATCGCATCACGCTACAAAAGAGCATCCATGAATGCTGCTTCTCCCTGACGAGGTAGCCAGCAGGTAGCTAGCGCAACTAGTGTACCAAAAAACCCCTAGCGTTGTCACAAGCAGATAGTTTTTGCAGAGAATCTCGCCATTGCTTTCACCTCGCGGTGAGGCGAACCATTGTGTCGCGAATCGGTTCAGGCTGAGCCCAGCTGGCAGCCATGGCCGCCACGTTAGCGCCTGATCCTGAGAGTTCCCGCATGGGAGGAGTCTCTCCGCGCAAGTCAAGTCCATTATCTTCTAGACCGGAAATTCCAGAATCCTTGTGCGATTTGAAATCGGATTCGCCGTCGCTGTGCGATCTGCCAGGCCCAATCGTCGCACACATTCTCTCGCGATCGCTGTGCGATCCGCGCGACGTTGTCGCCGTGAGAAGCGCCTGTCGCGGCCTTCGCGATGCAGTTGCCTCGGCACCTCCCCGGCTATCGCTTCTGCAGATGGATCGGGTTTCTGCTTCTCAAAAGGACGGAGCCAATGGCGGCGTGCCACGTAAGTGCGTAGTGGCGTGCTTGTCGACTCGTTGTTTGCTGCGAGGGGATCTGTGCAGCTTTTTAACGGGGATAGCTGGTGTTTGATTTTTAGTGATAAGGTACACCTCCAGCAGCAAGCTACTTTCGATAGCTGGTCATTAATTGGTTAAATTGCTCCGTTTTCTTCCGAGTCGTGCATACGTGTCTGAACTGCACCGCCTCTGTGCTTAATCCACCCACGTCCTTACAGAATCTGCAAACGCCAGCTCAGCTGCCACGTCAGCAGAGCCACTTGCCTCCTTCCCCCTGCACAGCTCTACGTGGTGCTCCCAGGCAGTACGGGGGATTGCACACGTGGCGCCGCTGCTGCACACGCTGTCTCTTGCCACCTCAGCAGTGTCCGATGCTGACGTGGCAGTGTGTGTCTCCTTGCTGACTAGGATGCAAGTGCTTGTGTTGGATAACTGCAGAAAGCTGTAAGTAATATGGGTTTCCTTTTTTTTCGTTTTTTTAAATAAATCTATACGTTTCAGCATAGGCTGATGCGAGATACCAAACATCCACGACATGGAAGTATGCATTATCTGAACCCATAGGGCCCTGGATGTTGTGCATTTCCCTCCTCTCTTTCTCTCGCTCTCTCCCTCCCACCACCACCAGCACAGATGCACTCGCACCTCACCTCGCCTCCTCCCCCTCTCTCACCACCATCTCCCTCCACCGCTGCTTCGGCCTCACCCCTCGCACCGTCTCCCTCCTTCTAGAAGCTTCCAGGAAACCTGGCTCGGTGCTGACTGCGCTGGCCTTTAGCCACGTGGACAGGCTCTCTGTGCGCCACGTGGCACCTCCAGATACCGCTACCCCCAGTGCCGCCCAGAGCGAGCCTCCACAGGAGGAGGAGGGTGGGCTCATGTCGTTTCTTGGACTGACTCAGAAGAGAGAGGAGGAGGGTGAGTGGTGGGAGGAGGGTGGAGGGTGGGGAATGGGTGGTGGGAAATGGGAGCAGGGTGGGTGGATTGGGGAATGAAAGGAGGGTGGGCTCATGTAGTTTCTTGGACTGAATCAGAAGAGAGAGGAGGAGGGTGAGTGGTGGGGGAGAAGGGGAGGCGGACGAGGGTGGTGGGGAATGGAGGGAGGATGAGCATGGGGGGAGCTTTGAGGCATCCAAAGAAAGAGGTGACATTGGGTGAACCTTGGACGTTTTTTCTATTTACTTGGACAAGCGGGGAGGAGGGTTGGTGGAATGACAGGAGAACGAGAGAAAGGTTCCCATGTTTCTTTCGCTGTATCCCCCACTTGCCTCGTCCCATCACATCAACCCCTCCCACCCGCACCCGCGCCACCCCTATGAACCCCTCTCAACCCATGATTTCAACATCCTTCCCAGCTTCATTCTCTCGAGCGCTTCACGGGCCCTCCTCCCTGCACTCCCTCTCCCTTGTGCATGTGCTAACACTCTTCCCCTCTTCTTCCCCTCTTCTTCCCCTCTTCTTCCCCTCGTTCCCTGCTCACCCTCCTCCCCGCCCCCCTCACCCTCTCCCCAACCCCGTCACTCCAGCCTCCTTCCCAGCGGCGATTTCTCAAGCGCTCCAACGCCCCTCTTCTCTCCGCTCGCTCTCCCTGCACTCCTGCCAAGCCCTCTCCGCCCGGGCGCTGCAGCTCATTGTGAGTGGAAAAGAAGAGGGTTATTGAGAAGAAAAGCATGTGGTGAGAAGAGAAGTAAGAGAGTGTATCTCTTCCCTGCTTTCCCCTTCCCTCTCCCTGCACTCCTGCCAAGCCCTTTCCGCACTGGCGGTGCAGCTCATTGTGAGTGGAAGAGTATTTCTGGGAGGAAACGGTTGTGGTGAGGGAAAGTGTAGCCCAGCCAGAGAATTCTCTTGTGAGGAAAAGTGTGAGTGGAGCAGCTGTTCTCGCTTCCCTCTCCCTTTGGAGGCGCCTTAAAATATCTCTTCCTGCGCTCCCTCTCTCCCTGCGCTCCCTCTCTCCCTGCGCTCCCTCTCTCCCTGCGCTCCCTCTCTCCCTGCGCTCCCTCTCTCCCTGCGCTCCCTCTCTCCCTGCGCTCCCTCTCTCCCTGCGCTCCCTCTCTCCCTGCGCTCCCTCTCTCCCTGCGCTCCCTCTCTCCCTGCGCTCCCTCTCTCCCTGCGCTCCCTCTCTCCCTGCGCTCCCTCTCTCCCTGCGCTCCCTCTCTCCCTGCGCTCCCTCTCTCCCTGCGCTCCCTCTCTCCCTGCACTCCCTCTCTCCCTGCGCTCCCTCTCTCCCTGCGCTCCCTCTCTCCCTGCGCTCCCTCTCTCCCTGCACTCCCTCTCTCCCTGCGCTCCCTCTCTCCCTGCACTCCCTCTCTCCCTGCGCTCCCTCTCTTCCTGCGCTCCCTCTCTTCCTGCGCTCCCTCTCTTCCTGCACTCCCTCTCTTCCTGCTCTCCCTCTCGCTGCACTCCTGCCACGCCGTTGCAGGTTAAATTTTGAGAACTCCCATAATCAACCTATAATGGAGAGCCCTCTCCTCCTGTGTCTCCGTCCTCTCCTCCTGTGTCTCCGTCCTCTCCATACTCCCTGATGCCCGCCCCCCCTCCTCTCCCCCTCCTCTCCCCCTCCTCTCCCTCTCCTCTCCCTCTCCCCTTGCTCTCCCCTCTCACTCCCGCCTCCTCCTCTACCTCTCCCCCTTCCCCCTCACTACTCGCCCACTTGCATCTAGCCCTCACGCCCTCCCCGTCCTCATCCTTTCCCATCTCCTCGCTCCCACTATCCGTTCAGGCCCTGAATTGCCCCAACCTCGAGATGCTCTGTCTCGGAGGCTCCTGCTTCGCCATCCTCCCTGATTAACGACCGCTGCCCCGTGCTCTCTCATCGATCTCCCTTTGCTCTCTCATCGATCTCCCTTTGCTCTCTCATCGATCTCCCTTTGCTCTCCCCTCGCTCTCCCCCACATGCAGACCCGCAGTTGCCCCCTTCTCGAGCCGCTCTGTCTTGGAGGCTCCTGCGTCTGCATTCTTCCTGACGCCCCACCCCTGCCTTCCTTCTCCCCTCCCTTCCCTCTCCCCTCCCTTCCCCATCCTCCCTCACGCCGTCCCCCTGCCTTCCCTCTCCCCTCCTTTACCCGTCCTCCCTCACGCCGTCCCTCCCTGCCTTCCTACACCCTTGCCACTTTCCCAACCCACCATTATCCGTTCAGTCAGGCCCTCCCTTGCCCCAAGCTCGAGCTGCTGTGTCTCGGCGGCTGCTTCCGCTTTCTCCCTGACGCCCTCCCTCCCTCCGTTCCTTCCTACACTCCTGCCACTTTCCCAACCCACCACTATCCGTTCAGGCGCTCAATTGCCCCAACCTCGAGCTCCTGTGTCTTGGGGGATCCTTCTTCCCCATTCTCCCTGACGCCCTCCCCCTGCCCTCCCTCTCCCGCCTCCTCCTCTCACTCCCTCCCCGCCTTGTCCCGCCCTCCCTGCTCTCCCGCCTGACGTCCGCCTCCCCCTTGCTAAACGCAGCAGAAGGGGGGGGGGCATCAGAAAGAGCAATGGCAGATGCAACAGCAGCAGGGGTAGGCGCAGCAGAAACAGCAGCAGCAGCAGAAGGGGGAGAAGCAGCAGCATCAGCAGGTGCAACAGCAACAGCAGCAGCAGCAGCAGCAGCAGCAGAAATTGCGGGGGAGATGACCAGACAGATGCAAGTGGGGGAGGTGCGAGCGAGGGAGGGGGAGGTGCAACCTGGTGCATGGGGGGGAAGAGAGGCGCGGAGGAGACAGGTGCAACTGGGGGAGGTGCGAGCAGGGTTGGGGGAGGTGAGGCCTGGTGCATGGGGGGAGGGGGGGGCGCAGAGGAGACAGGTGCAGAGACAGGTGCGGCCAGGGGAGGCGCGACTGGGGGAGGTGCATTCTGGTGCATGGGGGGAGGGGGAGGCGCGGAGGAGACAGGTGCAGAGACAGGTGCGGCCAGGGGAGGCTCTTGGTGGCCTGGCGGTGCTGCTGGGGAGGGTGCAACTGGTGGAGGTGTCTTTCTGGGAGAAAGGAGTTATTGAGGACATGAGGTGAGAGCGATATAGGAGCCACCATCACTCGCCATTGAGCTGCCTCTGCTGCTGGGAAGGTGAGGGGAAAGGGGGGTTATAGAGGACATGAGGTGAGAGAGGTAAAGAGCCCAAACAACCCGACAGCCGGCTTCCAGATTACCCGCTGATTGTCCCTTTGCTTCATGGAACTATAGTTTTACTGGCGAAGGTGCCGTTCTGGTGTTCTTTGATTTTGAGGCACCTGATGAAAAGCAGGTCATCAACTGTCAGATTACCCGCTGGTCGTCCCTCTGCTCTGCGTGAGGGAATGATGGTGCTACTGGCAATGGTGTCATTCTGGTGAAGTTCTTTGGTTTTGAGACGTCTCAAAAGTTGATGAAAATCTAGTTCTACTGACGATGGTGTCATTTCATTCTGGTGAAGTTCTTTGCTTTTGAGACGTCTCAAAAGTTGATGAAAATCTAGTTCTACTGGCGATGGTGTCATTTCATTCTGGTGAAGTTCTTTGCTTTTGAGACGTCTCAAAAGTTGATGAAAATCTAGTTCTACTGGCGATGGTGTCATTTCATTCTAGTGAAGTTCTTTGCTTTTGAGACGTCTCAAAAGTTGATGAAAATCTAGTTCTACTGGCGATGGTGTCATTTCATTCTGGTGAAGTTCTTTGCTTTTGAGACGTCTCAAAAGTTGATGAAAATCTATTTCTACTGGCGATGGTGTCATTTCATTCTGGTGAAGTTCTTTGCTTTTGAGACGTCTCAAAAGTTCATGAAAATCTAGTTCTACTGGTGATGGTGTCATTTCATTCTGGTGAAGTTCTTTGCTGGAGGCACGTTGTGGAATCGCCCCCCCCTGCCACTGCTCTTTTGCAATCCGCCCCGCCCTTCCTCAAGCGAATTGAGCCCCCTGAAATACTACACTTACAAGGGCCCTAATTATTCGTAAGGGCCACTACCACATTTCAGTAATCGGGCAGAACCAAAAAATAGATTGGCTACGTGGGCTACGTGTCGAGAAAAGCCGTGCCCTGATTTCTCTCTTTTTTTTTTAGCTAAGCTTGAAAGTGCTCCCGAAAGCTCACGGACGATTCGCCTACGTGTCGTGAAGGGGTTCGCCTCCCGTCTAGCTTGCCGAGAAGGGAAACCACTTTTGAGAATTGTGATTGAAACCTAGCTCTTAGGCTGGAAGCGCACCCGAAAGTTCATAGACAAGTCGCCTACGTGTCGTGAAGGGGCTCGCCTCCCGTCTAGCTTGCCGAGAAGGGAAACCTAGCTCTTAATCTGGAGGCGCACCCCTTAATGACATGTAGGCGACTAGTTTTGAGGCGCCTCAAATGCCGAGAAGGGAAACCTAGCTCTTAATCTGGAGGCGCACCCCTTCATGACATGTGGGTGACCCGTCTGCTAGCTCTCGGGAGCGCTTTCGAGCTTAGTTAAAAAATCAAGAGAAGTCAGGGCACTACTTTTCTGGACACGTAGCCCATCTTGCCGCATATGGGATTCTTCTTTAGGTGCTGCGTGACTGTTGAAATGCTGATTGTTGAGAGGAGCACTTATCACTTATCACTTATCCTTATCGTTTCTTCCCTCCCTTCTCCCTAACCCCAACCCACACTCTTTTGATTGCAGGGATGCTATCAGTTCCCTCCCTCTCCCGCTTCTCCTCCTTAACCTCTCCACAGATCCAGGGGCACTCATTGCCACTCAGGTCTTCGTTCGATTAAAGCCTCATGCCATCTCCCTCCCTCCCTTCTCCCCAACCCACGCTTGTTTGTTTTTACTTGCAGGGAATCGTCAGCTCCCTCCCCCACCCACCTCTCCTCATCGGTCTCTCCACAGACCGAGGGGCACTTATTCAGTATTCGCTGATCACTTCTTCCTTCCCTTCCCTCCAACCCAAACTCGCTGGTTTTGCTTTCTGCTTGCAGGGATGCCATTCGCCATCTCTCCCACCCGCCTCTCCTCCTCGATCTCTCCACCGACCGAGGGGCGCTTATTGCCGCCCATATCTCTCGTCATGCCGCCCAGATTCACGCCCGTGCCGCCCAGGGCGTCTCTCACGCTGCCGTTCACGCCCACTGGCACCTTCCGTCTTTTGAGGGCGCCTCAGGGCAAACAATAACAGCACAAGTGACAGCAGCAGAGGCAGCAGCACAAAATATGGCAGCACAAGTGACAGTAGCAGAAGCAGCAGCAGCAGAGACAATAGCAGGGCAAGTGACAATAGCAGAGGCAGCAGCGGCAAAAACAATAGCAGGGCAGGTGAGAGAAGCAGAGGCAGAAGCAGCTGAGACGATAGCAGGGCAAGTGAGATTAGCAGAAGAAGCAGCAGCAGAAAATATAGCATCACAAGTGACAATAGCACGGGCAGAAGCAGCAGGAACAATAGCAGGGCAGGTGAGAGAAGCAGAAGGAGAAGCAGCAGAAACAATAGCAGGGCAAGTGAGGGTAGCAGAGGCAGAAGCAGCAGAGACAATAGCAGGGAAAATGAGAGGAGCACAGGCAGCAGCAGCAGAGACAATAGCAGGGCAAGTGAGGGTAGCAGAGGCAGAAGCAGCAGAGACAATAGTAGGGCAAGTGACAGTAGCAGAGGCAGAAGTAGCAGAGACAATAGCAGGGCAAGTGAGAGTAGCAGAGGCAGAAGCAGCAGAGACAATAGCAGGGCAGGTGAGAGTAGCAGAAGCAGCAGCAGCAGAGACAATAGCAGGGCAAGTGAGGGTAGCAGAGGCAGAAGCAGCAGAGACAATAGCAGGGAAAATGAGAGGAGCACAGGCAGAAGCAGCAGGAACAATAGCAGGGCAGGTGAGAGTAGCAGAAGCAGCAGCAGCAGAGACAATAGCAGCACAAGTGACAGTAGCAGAGGCAGAAGCAGCAGCAGCAGAGACAATAGCAGGGCAGGTGAGAGTAGCAGAAGCAGCAGCAGCAGGGACAATAGCAGCACAAGTGACAGTAGCAGAGGCAGAAGCAGCAGCAGCAGAGACAATAGCAGGGCAGGTGAGAGTAGCAGAAGCAGCAGCAGCAGAGACAATAGCAGCACAAGTGACAGTAGCAGAGGCAGAAGCAGCAGCAGCAGAGACAATAGCAGGGCAGGTGAGAGTAGCAGAAGCAGCAGCAGCAGAGACAATAGCAGCACAAGTGACAATAGCAGGGCAGGTGAGAGTAGCATCAGAAGCAGCAGCAGAAAAAATTGTAGCACAAGTGACATTAGCAGAAGCAGCAGCAGCCCAGGCAATAGCAGGGCAGGTGAGATTAGCAGAAGCAGCAGCAGCAGAAAATATAGCATCACAAGTGACGGTGGCAGAAGCAGCAGCAGCAGAGAGAATAGCAGGGCAAGTGACAGTAGCAGAGGCAGCAGCAGCAGAGACAATAGCAGGGCAAGTGACAGTAGCAGAAGCAGCAGCAGCAGAAAAAATAGCAGGGCAAGTGACAGTAGCAGAAGCAGCAGCAGCAGAAAAAATTGCAGGGCAAGTGACAGTAGCAGAAGCAGCAGCAGCTGAGACAATTGCAGGACAAATGAGAATAGCAAAGGCAGCAGCAGCAGAAAATATATCATCACAAGTGACAGTAGCAGAAGCAGCAGCAGTAGAGGCAATAGCAAGGCAAGTGAAATTAGCAGAAGCAGAAGCAGCAAAGACAATAGCAGGGCAAATGAGAGGAGCACAGGCAGCAGCAGCAAAGTCAATAGCAGGGCAAGTGAGGGTAGCAGAGGCAGCAGCAGCAGAGATGATAGCAGCACGAGTGACTGGAGCAGAAGCAACTGCTGTTTCAACTACTGCGCCTGCGGCTGCTGCTGCTGCTCCTGCTGCTACTGCTCAAATCCCTTCCGTTTCTGCTCAAATCCTGTCGTCCGCTGCTCTTGCTGCTGCTGCAACAGCCCGGCACTTGTGCCGGCAGTGTGCAAGAGCCACTCGCCCTGCCAAACCGGCTGCCTCTCCTGCTCCCTCTGCGGACGACTGCTGCTGTGAGCTGGACTGGCTGGGGGCATTGCAGGGGCAAAGGGTTGAGCCCACGTGTTGTTCATATGGTGGCAGCAACAGCACAGCCAGCACCAGCAGCAGCACTTTTGGCAGCAGCAGCAGCAGCAGGAGCAGCAGCAGCACTTTTAACAGCAGCAGTATCAGCAGCAGTGGCAGCTGCAGCAACACTCTTGGAACTAGCACTAAAATCCCTTTCTGCTCCCCCTCTCTCTCCCTCCCCGCCCCCTCCCTCTCCCTCCCCCCATCCGCCCTCCTCTGGGCTCTCCGCTCCGCTGCTGGCTGTAGCAGTCTGCAGCAGCGCTCCCCCCTCCACGTGGCAGCTTTGCTGCAGGATACACGTGGCGCCCAGGCATTGGTTGACGTGGTTGGGCTTGGGGGGAGGGCGCAGGGCTTGGGGAGGTGGGGGGATTGGGGGAGCAGGGGGAGGGGGGTGCCTGGGAGGGTGTATTGTGGAGCAGAGGGGGGAGAGGAAGGGGGAGGGAGAGGGGAGGAGGGAGAGGATGGGGAGGAGGGGAAGGAGGGGGGTTTCAGTGAGAGAATGAACAGGAGGCTATGGGAGGAGTGGGAGAGGGAGGAGGAGGAGGTGGAGAGGGGGGAGAGAGAGTGGGAAAAGGAGGAGGAAGAGGAGAAGGGGGGAAAGGCGGAGGAGTCGGAACGGCAGAAGGGCCAAGGGGGGGATGAGCAGCAGGAGGGCAAGAGAGGCGAGGGCATGGGATTTGACATAGGGGGAGAGGGACAGCTGGTGGTCAATATGAGGGACAAGGGCGGAGCCACGGCTCTGTTTCTTGCTGCAGAGGCCGGCGACGCGTGGACCGTGGAGGTGGGTGGGTGGGTGGGGGGTGTGTGCATGGATGGAAGGTTGCATGAGGGTGAGTGCGTGGGCTGGATCAGGAGTGTGGCAGAGAAGGGACGCCTGGTGGTGAGCATGAGGGACAAGGGAGGAGCCACGACTCTGTTTCTCGCAGCAGAGGCTGGTGACGCGTGGACCGTGGAGGTGGGTGGCTATGTGGAGAAAGACGCTGGGGCAGCCCTGCGTCCTGCGTCCGGACGCAGCGTCCGGACGCAAAGACGCAGGACGCGCGTCCGGACGCAGGACGCACCCTGGAAAATTTTTCGGGCAGACCGAGATTTTTTTTTTTTCGCGATCGCGAAATTCGACACCCCCCAAGCAAATTCGACCCCCAAAACCAGCCATCTAATTCACCCCTAACCCCCTCCCCTTTTTGCAAAATTGATTTGGAAATCCAACCCCTCTCCACCACTCCACAACTAGGAAACCCAACCTTTGTGGTCCACCACCCCCACAAAGCCCATTTAGTTCATGAAACCTCTCATTTGTGCTCCCTTTTCTCACAACCCAATTCTCTTTCAAAAACCCTAGTGGTTTTAGCTCCTTTCCGCGCACCACCGTTATGGCTAGCTCCTTGTGTTCGCGACCTTGTGTTCGTTGCGCACAACTGGAACGTTGTGCACAACCACCACAAGGGTGCGGCGGGTGCGGGGCCGAGTGGGGAAGTCAGGAAGGCGGGAATAGTGGAGGGGAACATTCCCCCCCGACCCCTTCCCGAGGGGTACAAGCTTGAGGAGGATGGAGAGGTGGAGGTGGATGAGGATGACCTCACCTTCGACGAGTACAAGGAGCAGGAGGATTTGGAGAAGGAGGAGGAGAAGGGGATGGAGAGCGAGGAGGATGAGTGATGCATGTTAGTTAGTGGTAGTATGCATGCATGCTAAACAACCCTTGGACTAATTGTGATTATGGAAATTTGGGGCTCACCTTCATGTTCTATTGTTGTGGCTGAAATTTTGTTGTTGAGGAGAAATTTTGCTATGAAAGTGTGTTCCCCCCCCCCCCCCTCTTACCCCCTCTTCCCTCTGCCCTATAACTTTTTTTTGGCTGCCCGGGGGGTTTTTTTTGGCTGCCCGGACCTGCGTCTTTTGCTGCGTCTCGGGGGCCCTAAACTAGCGTCCAGCGTCTGGACGCATGCGTCTGGACGCATGCGTCCAGGACGCTGGACGCGTCTTTCTCCACATAGGTGGGTGGGTGGGTGGGTGGGTGGGGGGTGCGTGCATGGGAGGTTGCATGAGCAGGCGCGTGGGTTGGGTCAGGGGCGAAGGGGGAGAGGGGCGGCTGATGGTGGGCATGAGGGACAAGGGCGGAGCCACGGCTCTGTTTCTTGCTGCAGAGGCTGGGGATGCGTGGACTGTGGAGGTGGGTGGGTGGGATGAGGAGGATGTGAGTGCAAGCAGGTTGGGGGGGGGCACGGGGGGTTGTCACTCATGGTGGAAGCGGGTTGGGGGGGGGGACGGGGGGTTGTCACTCATGGTGGAAGCGGGTTGGGGGGGGGGGCACGGGGGGAATGGTCGTAGAAAGGAGGAGCCACAGCACTGTTGCAAGCGGGTTGGCGGGGGGCACGGGGGGAATGGGTGTAGAAAGGAGGAGCCACAGGGGCGAGGAGACGCCTCTCTACATCGCACAACTGAAGGGCCACCTGTGGGTGGTGCGCTGGTCACACGCCCTTACACTCCTGTGCCATGCCTCTCTGTCTCTCGCTCATTCCCTTCCACAGGTGCTGTTGAAAGCAGGCGCGCACATGGCAGTAGGCAACAGAGGCGAGGAGACACCTCTCTACATCGCCTCACTCAAGGGCCACCTTTGGGTGGTGCGGCGGCTGCTGGGGCACTGCAGGATGAGAGGACTGGACTGGCAGGCAGATGCGAGCTTGCACAGGGGAGGTGAGACATGAGGGGTGGGGAGGGGTGTGGGTGTGGGGATTCATATTCTTTACTGGCAGTTTAGGGTCCCCTGTGGGAGATGCAAGGGCTGCTGGGGCACTGCAGGAGGAGAGTTCTGGACTGGCAGGCAGATGCGAGCTTGCACAGGGGAGGTGAGATGTGAGGGTTGGGATGTGGCGATTTTTATTGTCATTCTCAATCTCTTCCTTTTTCCACTTCTCTCCCAGGCTCCGGGTGGACACCCCTCATGGCAGCAGCACTGTCCAACCACACCCACGTGCTGCACACACTGCTGACTCACCATGTACACACCCACCAATCTCATGACAACACATCATCACCCGCCTTTATCAACAAGCAGAACGCATACGGCCTAACAGCACTGCACATAGCAGCGCGCTACGGGTCCTTGGATTGCATTCAGGCACTGTTGGCAGCAGGCGCGTGTGCTGCTGTGCCGGACCTGTATGGCGAGCGGCCGTCGGGCCTGGCGAAGAGGTTCGGGCATTCCGAAGCTGTTCAGCTGCTGTTGGCGGTGGAAGGGGAAATGGGGGTGGGTGGGGGGGAGGATGGGGATAATGGGAGCAAGGGGAGGAATGGGGGGAAGGGTGGCAAGGGGAAAGGTGCAAGGAGGAAGGGGAGGAAGGCGAAGGGCATGGAGGAGAATTGATGCATGGTTTGGCTTTATGGTCCAATTTTCGTCAAGCTGACAAACTGGAGGCTGGCTAGCCGAGTGTAGATTGAAGAATCATGTCTTGACAATTTTGTACCATTTTCTGTGTTTTGCATACCAGGCGTCTGCGCAAATCCGGCAGGCACATTCTTTCCTCCAAAAATCAACGTGTTTTGATACAACAAACACATGCAAAGGTGTGCATCTAGAGGACACTCTGGAGCCGTACACCTAGTCCACGGTATTTTAACCACCCTAACGTTTTTGTTTCAAATACCCTGTGTGCATTTTAGTTCAATGGGATGGACACCCAGAGACTTTGGGGCTATTAGAATACAACCGAGAAATTTTCGGTTAGAAAAAACCCACACTTAGGGTACATTCCTGTGGAGACACAAATGTCTCAATCGCTTTGTGACACACAAAAACAGCATAAACTGTAGTGTGTCCCAATTGCGAGTCGCATTTCCGCGACCATTACTGTATTTTTTATTGGTCAGCGTGAAACGCGCTGACGTCGCTGACGAATTGTAATCTGACTCGTCAATGTGAAAAATTCGCACGCTGCTCGAAATGTCAATGCACCTGGACAGCCTACAATGCCAATTTCGTGCGGGAAAAAATCCCGCTCGTCGAAACCACACCCCAGCCAAGCGGTTGAAAAAAGGGATGTACAGTCATTTGTGTCACCCAAACAAATGCGCACAACTGTACATCTCGCCTGGTCGCCTAGAGTCGCGATACATTGGTTGTTTGTGACACAACATTTGGCAAAATAACAGGCGCGACTCGGGAAATCGGGGATTGAGACACAAGTGTCCCCGCAGGAATGCACCCTTAGTGCTCCGAGATAGGGGACGCATTGGCATTAACAAAGTAGCAACTGCTGTGACCTTGCAAAGGGTACGTGTAACTCTACCCTCAAAAATGTTTTAAACTACCCTTGTATTCAATCTTGACCACGGAGTAGTACCCCCGCGTGGTTAAGATAGCGGCGGTGAAAATACCGCGGACTAGGTGTAGTATATGCTAATAGCGGGATGTGATCCAAAGAGATCACCTTATTCATGACTGACTGTGCGACGATCCCTAGTCGCACGTGCCGTCCAAGTGACACTATAACATCCACTCCACTCAGACGATTCTTTATTTTCCTTCAGCCCCTCACATCTTGAGGTTCGTCCTCCTGATGAGCCTGCGGCGGGAAATCTGCTTTGTTACATGTCCGGCGGAAGCATGATGGACGTAATACCGTGGACGATGGTGTTACGTCCTCGCTGCAAGTCGCCTGATACAATCGTCGTCGGGATAAACCCCCCCCCTTTCAGCTGCACGATAAGTTTCGTGTTCTTTCGCGAAACCTTCGTGATCATCCCGCCTTCGTAAGTCGGGAGCTTCGATTGAGGCGGCATCGCTTTAAGCTCCATGAAATCGTACAACCCCTTCGCGATGTGAAATCTGAAAATCTTCATCGCCACGGCGCGCGGGTACGACTGCATGGTCACGCGAATCATTCCCGTGTCGACTGGCATGAAAATGGTTCGCTTTTTCTTGATCAGTCGAAAGCCGCTTCCTTTGCCCGGTTTGGGCGGCTTGGGGAACGTGGGAAACGCCTCTGCAAAAGGAAAAAAAACAGAAAGCAAATGGGCAGCGTTGATGAAGAAATAATGAGAACGGGATTTGTGGGAACGGGTAAGGGGAAGAGAAGGGAAGATGAATAAATAATGAGAAGGACGTATGGAACGAACAATTGCGAGCCAATACAGGAAGGAAGCGACGGAACCATGAATTGTCAGGGATTAGGTTGATGAGGTGTTGCGATGGGACACTGAGGAAATAGGGAACAAGACAGAGCTTCTCATTGGGTCCAAGAATTAAATAGACACTAGAAAATCCGTCGAACGAGTCGACATTCCCACACCGCCAAAGCTGGTGGAGAAAGAAGACGAGTATTCAGCCGTTGAGGATACCACCCGTTCACATGCATCGCCATTTGTAAGAGAGGTGAGCATTGAGAATACAGAGATTGGGAGTGAGAACCCATAAGTCGACTCGGAAGTCACCTCAACAATAGAGAGTTTGGAATCAGCACCCATTCCCTGGAATGTGGAGCACTTCTGCGCTGCTACAAGCCGACTCACCATGCTGTCATAAGCTGACTCACTGTCGACGTGAGTTAGTTAGTGAAGTAGATAAAATTCCATAACTATTTCATAGGCGTCTCAGTATAGTAAGTTCGCTTCGGCACCTAAATGTTTATGAAGCAACTCAATGTGCCCTGATAACTCACGGGACGACAAGAGTTGGTTAGCGAAGTAGCTGTAGTTCCCCATCTTCGCGACCTCTTGCAGAACCTCAAATAAATCGTCATTGTCGTCTTCACCTTCATCCTCGATACTAGCATTTTGAGGCGTCTTAGCACCGCCGGGTGCGGCGCCACCGCGGAGGGGCCCGCCAGGGCTGCCGCTACCGCTGGTGCCACTGCTGCTAGCAGCGGGGAGCAATGCCGAAGAGAGCAGAGCTACAAGACAGAGCAGCAGCGCGAGCCTGATTGGGATTCGCATGGTAGCCGTTTGGATGGCACTCGTGCTTTCTTTAGGACAAGTTAGAGGTGCGCTGTTTACGCGAAGGGATGGTTTTTTGGAAGCAACGAGGCGAAATAGGTTAATAACCGGCAGGCGATTAAATCAGGTCTGACAGCGTACGCGTTGTTGCAACAGACTATCTTCAAGCTGTGCTACTCGTTTCAAACTCCCTTTCACGATGTCACACCGTAAACTACTCTCTAGGGCTTCAAGATATAATGCCGCAAAAGGATCCGACTTGTTCAGCGCGTCCTTCCGTCGAGCGAAGCGTAAATGTCGGTCTTACAACAAAACCGTCGGCTTTTTATGAGAAGGCCTGTCGGCAGCAGAGACAGAGATGGGCCAACCGCTGTCTGGACGGTATGCGGGGCTTTCTGCCTTTGAAAATTCTGCGGAAGAAGTTTATGCATGTATGATGGCACTTGATGGGCCCGTGAAATCTGGAAATGCTACTTGCGCACTTGCTTGCTGTTGGCAGGTCAGGTGTGGTGTACGTGACGTACTCCAAAACTCTAGTTGTGGGGTGCACTGGTTGTGAGAGTGGGAAGGAGAGGGGCGTGGGAAAAAAAGCGCGCACATTTCTCAATGTTGAAAAGTGAATTTGAATCTGCGCAGTCGGGTCGCATGTTGCGTCCTTGCCTGATGTTTAGCCGAGTCGCGATGTCGGTTGTCGCGAAACCCGTTTGGCAGGTTGGGCGATGGTGATTTGTTTCGCCAATGTATTATCCCTTGTCCATCTTGTTACGATGCGCCACGTGTTAGCTGTCAGGCTAAAGCACGTCCCTCGCATTAGATTCGATTGCAACATTTACCCTCTATAGTTGCCGTAACATTTTCTGTCAGTTATATGCTGTTTCCATATAATCCTACGGTGTAGTGGCACTTGATTGACACGTTATTTTAGAGGATCATTACAGCTAATTAAAGCATTCGTGGACGTAAAACATCCTCGTTAAGGAATAATGAAGAGTGTACGTAATCCTAGATCATTCTGAGCGGTATAGTAAAAAAATCCACATTTTCTAGAGTAATCATTACACGAAGGGTGAAGTCCCTTTTGCCAAGTCATGTGATCCATAATCATTTATGCTTTGTATGTAATAGATCACAATAAGTATGGATGGCAGTAGGAGCATAGTTGATAGCTGATTACATGCTTATACTCTGGCATTACATCCTTACGCCTTGTTTGTCTGAGGGTGCTGCAGCGCAGATCCCCTCATTCTTCCGTATGAAACGAACAAGTCAGCTTAGAATCAGGATTCCTACTGCTAACATAATCCCTGCATTGCAACAGCGGGATTATACCAAATACCAACTATTAGTTCCGTATGAGCTAGGGGCGGGCGACTTGCGGCCTCAGAAGAGCGCCTGCGCCATCCAAAGCGAACCCAACTGTACCGCGGAGAGTTCCTCTGACCGCACCGCGGATGGTGTCAGCCTCGGGTGTAAGCAGCGCCGGCGGGATGAGCAGCGTGCTCGTGCCTTGGATCGTGAAGTCCGTACCGACCCACAGGTTCGGTATCGCCACGACGCTCGGCAATTTCGCCGCGCCTTTAAACGTGATGGCCGGCAGGCCCTTGGGGCCGCGCTTGATGACCGTGTCGCCCTCGAGAGTGTCGAGTTCCGTGCCGGCCGGCAAGTTCGTGATGTTGCGGAAGAGGTAGCGCGTGGCGATCGTGTTGTACGTTAGAATCGTCGTCTGCTCGTCTTTGGTGTAGTTGCGAAGCAGTGCGATGTTCGCGGGCAGCAGAACGGTCAGGTCGGTCAGCGGAATGAGAGATTTCACTAGTGGGAAGAAATTGGGGTCGGGACACAAGATGAAAACATAGGCAGTAGAGCATTAGAAACTGAAGTGTCCAGTTCAACCAAACGGATTTCGTCATGGCAAGAACGGTAAAGTGGGAAGTTTGACAAGGGTGGCACAGATTGAGGGAGTTACGGGTCGTGAACCCAGCGGTTGAAAAGAGTTGAGTGAGGTTGTGTGGTGCGCAACGTACAATAGTCATCGACGAATTTGAAGATTGCCTTGTATTCCGGCCGCTTCCCGATGAAGTCAATGGCTCGCCCCACTTCCCCGGGGTTGAGTGCTGACACGTGGCTGACGTGGCATACCGCGACTACGGCTAGCAGCACTACGGCGAATCGATGCACCGCAGCCATTGTCCGGGGTGAGACAGGAAAATGGAAGACAGCAGGTGCGCGTCTCTAACTTTAGTAGGCGAACCAAATGGAGCGAGCTAGGACTGATAGCTCTGGCGACAGAACAGATAAAAAACTGGGAATACGAGAGGAATTGATGGAGGCAGAGAGAAGTAAGACGATGGACTGAATTTGATGGAATGAATTGAAGCGGAGGGAATGAATGAATTGAGCACCAATGTGCAATTTTTGCGAATTTGAAGCTCGCGCAAAAGCACATGCCGCGCTTCCGCAAGCCCATGGAATTTTCACGAATTCATCAAAACTCGCACCCCACCGCCACCGCGAGAATTCCGCTGTCGCACGGACGGGCGAAGAAATGTGCTGGGGAGGTGGGGAAAGGGAGCGGAGGATGCCTCCGGCGGTGGATTGTTTCGCTGAGCGACTCGTTGTGCAAAGGTCGACTGTTTTATTTGTCGCTTGCCGTGTGGAATTTCGTCGCAGCGGTGGCTGGTGCTGCCTAGTAACCGACAGAGTAAGCGACCGTTGACAATGGAAAACGCCACATACTGTGCTTCGGAAAACTATAAGTACTTAGCATACTTATGGCACGTGGTAATTGTACCCTTATGGGCAAACGTAATTACAAATAATAATTCTGATACATTTACCGGTAAATCAGATTTGATAGATTCCTGAATGAGGCTCGGGTTCTAACATGGCGATGGAAAACGGGAAGTGCTTCTGGAACAACGGAAGAATGCCATGAGGATGCAAGTGCGTAGATGATAGGTGTGGGTCAAACTCGGGCATTACTCGGAACCACCCCGCATGCCGCATCGCACTCTTCACCTTCCGCCTGTAAATGCGGCAAGCAAATGGAAGCGGAAATGAGTTTATTAGACGGTAGGGGAAGGGGGGAGAGAGTGAGGTTGTCAAGGTGGCTTGCACATCGAGAGAGTGAAGTTTTGAGAGAAGGGAAGGGAAGGAGGGAGAGAGGACGGAGGGGGAAGCAGGAGAGGAAGAGAGGGAGAGAGAAGGAAGAAGGGGAGCCGGGGAGAGGGGATATGGATGGAGATCATACCAAAACACCTCACCAGTAAGAGGCAGTCGTGATGTAACAATAACACCCCCCCCCCCCTTCTCCCCATTGAGCGTGATGGCGAGCATCTTATGGTCGTGGACTTTGAGGGACCAGGAGGTAGTACCCCGACCCTTAAACCCCAAACCTTAGCCCATACCACACCAGTAGGTGGCAGTCTTGATGTATCGGTAGAATCCCGGGCCCCCATTATGCTTGCGAGCAAGCGTCTCATGGTCGTGAAACTGAACGGACCAGGGGCAGTAGCACAGCCAGTAGCTGACCCAATGCCTTCAACCCTAAACTCCAAACCCTTAGGTCCTCACCAGTAGGTGGCGGTCTTGATGTATCGGTAGAACCCCGGGCCCCCATTGTGCGTGCGAGCCAATGTCTCATGGTCGTGGAACTCGAGGGACCAGGGGCAGTAGCGCAGCCAGTAGTTGATGACGGTGCGCTCGCTGTGCTCCACCGACCAATGGCAGTCCTCGTAGCACAGCGGCGGGCGGTGCTCCAGCCACCACGCATCCGTGTGATAGTCGTTGCTGTGGAGGGCGGGGAGGGAGGGGGAGGAGGAGAGGCGGTGGAAGAGAGGGGGGAGGGAGAGGAAGGAAAGGTGGGTGGTGGGCAGAAAATGGGAGAGTTGATGAGAGGCAATGGAAGGAGGGGCGTATGTAGGGACCAGCAGGCGTGCTGTCTGTGAGGGGCAGTAGCGCAGCCATTAGTTGATGAAGGTGCGCTCGCTGTGCTCACCGACCAATGGCAGCCCTCGTAGCACAGCGGTGGGCGGTGCCCCAGCCACCACGCGTCCGTGTGATAGTCGTTGCTGTGGAGGGTGGGGAGGGAGGGGGAGGAGGAGATAAGAAATCAGTGCTAAGGGGAGGAGCGAGGAAGACAGGGGCGGGCGGTGCTCCGGCACCACTCGTCTCTGTGATAGTCGCTGCTGGGGAGAGAGAGGTGGGGGGGAAGAGGGGGCGGAGGTGGGCGGTGGGCAGGAAATGGGGAGAGCCGGCCCCATCATCCCCCAGAGTGGCAGGTTCAATGAAGCTGGTCTCCACGAATCTCATCGCATCCAGCAGCACTCGTTTGTGTCACTTTTGTGAAAGTTTAAAGTGACACTCCTTTTTGCCCGCATGTGCATGTTGAAGAGTTCACATACCTGATCTGCAGTGGGCCGATGGACAGCCCATCATCCCCCACGGGGGCGGGTTCAATGAAGCTGGTCTCCACGTATCTCATCGCACCCAGCAGCACCCCTTCTACGGCCTTACATGTGCAAAGAGGTGCATGCACACATACCTGATCTGCAGGGGGCCGATGGAGAGCCCATCATCCCCCACAGGGGCGGGCTCAATGAAGCTCGTTTCCACGTATCTCATCGCATCCAACAGCACTCGGTAGCGCTTGCGGTAGGAGTCAATGTCTGACGGAGAGGTGATAGGGGGGGGGAAAGGGGGTGGGGTTGGGAATACCAAAGGGGAATGCTGATGAGAGGGCCCAATGAAGCTCGTTTCCACGTATCTCATCGCATCCAACAGCACTCGGTAACGCATGAGGTAGGAGTCAATGTCTGTCCAGGGTGATAGAGAAGTGAAGGGGAAGGGTGTTGTTGACAGGCGGAAGGGGAAGGACAACAGGGTGTGCTGGCGAGAGGGTTCGATGAAGCTGGTCGCCACGTATCTCACGGCATCCAGCAGAATTTGGTAGCACTGCGGTAGGCGTTAATGTCTGTTCCAAGCGGTGCGTTGACAGGCCAAAGCGGAAGGAAAAGGGGGAATGCTGATGAGTGGGCTCCATGAAATGAAAGCTTATCTTCACGTATCTCATGGCTTCCAGCAGCACGCGGTAGCGCTTGCGATAGGCGTCATGTCTGTGGGGGGGATTTTGGGCACGTGGGCAGGGAACAGGGAGGTTGAACCAGAAGGACAAGGCATGGTGCATGGAGCATGGAACGGTGGAGAGACATGCGAAAGGACTCTGGAACACTAATTCTCGTTCCTTACTACCCCAACTCACCTATCCCAACCACGCCCCACCCGACTCACTCTCCCCCCACCCGCTCACCCTCTCCCTACACCCACTCCTGGGTGGCAGAAACACGTCCCAGAAGTTACCATTGCGCATCGTCCCTTTCACCTTCGCCTTAACGCCTGCCAGCGCCACCGGCGCGCGAGCAGCAGCAGCAGCAGCAGCAGCGGCGGCGACGGCGGCGGCGGCGGCGGCGGCGGCGGCGGCGGCGGCGGCGGCGGCGGCGGCGGCGGCGGCGGCTGCAGAAGGAGCAGCGCATCAGACCCACCCATTCCCCACCCGCCCATTCACACTCCCCACCTTCCCTCCCCTCAAACCCCCCCACTCACTCCTGGGTGGTGGGAACACGTACCAGAAGGTTGGCATTGCGCATCGACCCCTTCACCCACTCATCTTCAAAACATAGGGATCAGTCATTCGACACCGTCTCAGACCCACCCACATCCCACCCGCCACTCCCACCCTCCCCAAATCCCCACAAACCCCAACTCTCTCCTAGAAGGCGGAACACGACCCAGAAGTTGGCATTGCACATCGAGCCTTTCACCTTTGCCTTCACCTTCACGCCTGTCAGCGGCGCCACCAGCAGCAGCCATCAGCAGCAGCAGCGGTATCTCGTCAGACCCACCCACCTTCCCTGCATCACCCCCCACCACCCCTTAACAATTCACTCCTGGGCAGCGCGAACACGACCCAGAAGTTGGCATTGCGCATCGTGCTTTTCACCTTCGCCTTTACGCCTGTCATCGCCACCAGCGCCCGAGAAGCAGCAGCGGCAGCAGCAGCAGCAGCAGCAGCAGCAGCTGCTGCTGCAGGTCGTTGCCGGGGTAAAGAGGGCCCATCGCTCCACGTGCTTGTCAGACCCACCCACCCACTCCCACCCTCCCCACCTTCCCTCAACTTCCAACCTCCTAACTCACTCCTAGGAGGAGGAAACACGTCCCAGAAGTTGGCATTGCGCATCGTGCCCCACCTACCGAGTTCCCCCCCTTTCCCCCGCCACCTTTCCCCCCGTTTTTCTTTCCCCCCAACTCACTCCGGGCGGCGGGAACACGTCCCAGAAGTTGGCATTCCGCATCGTCCCCTTCACCTTCGCCTTAACGCCTGTCAGCGCCACCAGCGCACGACCAGAGGTAGCAGAACATCAGACCACCCACTTCCCCACATCCCACCCCCCCCAACTCACTCCTAGGTGGTGGAAACACGTCCCAGAAGTTGGCATTCCGCATCGTCCCCTTCACCTTCGCCTTAACGCCTGTCAGCGCCACCAGCGCGCGAGGCCGCTCAACCGCGTCTGCAGGCAGCAATAGCTCGTCGCCGGGGTATAGCGGGTCGGGGATGCTCGCGTTAAGAGATAGTAGCTCGTCTAGCGTGAGCCCGAAGCGCAGGGAGATGTCCCACGCCGTGTCGCCATCGCGGACTAAGACTGACTTGGTCTTAATCTCCTTTTTGCTAGAAGTCGAGGCGTTTGCGCCGGTCCCGATGCTCTCGCCCCTCCCGCTGCTCCCCCCGCTCCCACTGCTGCTGCTGCTGCTCCCGCTGCTGCTGCTGTTCCCGCTGCTCCCGCTACTACCGCCGCTCTCGCTATTCCTGCTGCTGTCGCGAAGGCCCTTAGGGCTGCTGTCGCCCGCGGTGTTGGCGGTCGCGGTGGCGGTGGTGCTGACACGTAAGCACGGCTGCGGAGGCTCTCGCGCGTATGGGGAGGAGGAGGGGGAAGGGGAAGCAGTTGCTTGCGCGGGGGTCAGCAGGAGGGGCGCGGAAAGGGACACGCGCGCGGAGGCGTTTCCGGCAGAGTTTTGCGCCGTCTCAGAAAGGGACAGGGGCGCGGGGGAGACGGGGATGTTAAGAACGTCCCCGGAGTAAATAGTGTCTGACGTCAGCTTGTTAAACGCCTGCAGCTGTTCGCAATCCACGCCGAATTTCACGGAGAGGTCCCAGAGCGTGTCGCCATCTTCGACCACAACCGACTTAGTAGGAGCTTTCTGAGACGAGTCGAATAAGGACTTGAGGAAAGAAACTCCCCCGCTGCCGATGAAAGAAACGCCGCCGCGATCCCCGTTACTGCCATTGCTGCTAGAACTGCTGCTCGCGGTCCCAGGGCTTTGACCGAATCCCATTGGTCTGCTAGTGCAGGCTGCTTATGACCTACCTTGGCCTACTTATGGCCAATCAATATCCTACGTATAAGCTACTTATGACCTGGTTTTGCCTTTCTTATGAGCTCACGAGCTTACTGGCATGCCAGTGCAAATAACTCCTTCATGCTGACATGCGTGTCACTTGTCTTTTCAGGCATCTTACAATGAACCATTCTGGACCACTCTGGACCATTCTGGGCTAATCTGGGTCACTCCTCGTCACGGCGCCATGTCCTGTGAATGCTTCGTTACAATCACATGCTAGCTAACGTCTCCGCCGTCTCAAACGCGAACGAATCCGTCTCTCCATTCTCATATGGTTTACTGACTCGCTTGATCGTTAAGCTGCTCGCTCGCGCGCTCTGTGTGCGGATTGTTGTGACTGATGACCCTAGATACGACCTCGATACGAGTAAAACGCAAGTTGTGGAGTTCTTTTCGCGAGTCCTGCTCCCGCTATGGCGAAGCACGAAGCTGGAATACGAACAGCTGTCTAACGTGAGATGCAACAGCGACGCCGAAACGGCACACAACTGAAAACTTGTTCCGGAAAAATAGCACCAATGGCGAATCAGTGGAAAGTACCTATCATGGCTGAGGTAAGATAAACAGTATTTTCTCAAAAGCAGACTTCAGCGTTAAAACCCGCAGGCCAAGAATTTCAACCTTAGGAAGGTTGGTTGGGAGTGAAAACGCAAAAGGCCTGCGAACCAATAGGAGTGTCCGAAATGTTGGACGAGGTCTAGAATTCGGGAATGATCACAGGCATTTTTGGGACATCCAACCAACGCTAGGAAGGATGAACCGAATTTGGCCTTCTTGGCCTGCGGGTTTTAAGCCAGAACTCAGTAGTAGCCTCAAGGTTGCCCAATTCTATCCGCGCAGCAGCGAGGGATCTTAGTCCCTACCCACCGTCCGATATCCTGCCAAATATCAACATCGCCTGTCAGCCCTACGATCGACAAATCTCGAAGGTCAGCCGTTTTGCTTCTGGTCACTCCACTACTGCTCGTGATAGCTGCACTCGGCATTTCTACAATCCCGTAAATTCTCCAAACAAATATACGTGAAGATTTCATTTTTTTTTTTCACATTCTTTCATTCACTCCTAGCCAGCTTGTGCTACTTATTCTGTAAATGCACTAACAGATGAGCTCGTGTAAGAGCAATAATAACAACTGCCGCAATAACATCTTATATGTTGACTAGGTCGAAGCCGCTGTAACAGCAGCATTGGCAAGAGTATATCCATAATCCTGGTCAAAAGACCAGAACATGCAACCTCCCAGCCCTTCCTGCTTGGCATACTTCACCTTCCTGGAAATTGTGTCAGGGTTGTCATACCCCACCCATTTGGTCCCTTGATAAGCATACATCGATGAAGATGGCGAATCGAATGCAGATGTAGCACCACCCGCGATGAACTGGACAATATCCTTGTAGCTCATAGTGGGACCGCCTTTAGCAGGTGCCCCAACCCCGTGACTTGCAGCAGACTTGAGCGTCCACACATGACCATAGGATGCCAGACCCAGCAAGGATATTCTTCTCAGCTGCAGTGAGGCGCTCCTCTAGCAGGTCGACGGTGAGCTCGATGGGGCAAAGGGAGAGAAAGTGGTCCCTGACTGAAGCAAGGGAGTCAGGGAGGCGGGTGAATACGTAATAAAGGGTGATGTACATGGGGGGGGGGGGGGTTCTTGGCACAGAACTCAGTGGGAAGCGCAGCGCGGTAACGGGCGTCACTAGTGCGGAGGTGAGTAATGAGGTCAGCGACTGTGGCAAAGGCGGCAAGGTCAGGGAACAGGTACGGCAGCATGAGGCGGCTGAGGGCAGCAGTGGCAGGGGAGGAGTAGCGCGCTACGACAGCATCATACAAAGACTTAGCAGTCTTGTACTGGCCAAAGTGCGCGCGCTCAGCAGACGGCAGGTGATTACGAACAGCAAGGCGAGCAACAGCGTCATGAGTGGTCCACTGCGAGCAAACTTTACTGTCAGCAGTGGCAGCAGGTGCAGGAGAGACACCGGACGTGTGATCGAAAAGGGATACTCCGTCCTTAGAGTCACACTGAAGAAAGAGCTTGAGGTCGTCAACCCACACGTCAAAGTCAACCGCACGCCCCTCAGCATCAAAGGTAAGAACATTAGGGCTAGCCATAGTGGCAGTAGCAGCAGTAGCAGCAGTGGCAGCAGAAGCAGCAGTAGCAGCAGGAGCAGCGCGGGCAGGGCAGTGCGGCTCAGTAGGGCGGCGCGGCTCGGCAGGGTGGCGCGGCTCGGTAGGGCGGCGCGGCTCGGCTGGGTGGCGCGGCTCGGCTCCTGGCGGCGCGGCGCGGCAGGGCGGCGCGGTTCGGAGGAGCAGCGCGGCTCGGCGGGGCGGCGCGGGTGCTTACCAGGGGCGGGTGCAGGGCAGGGCCGCAGCTGGCGGTTAGGTCAGGGCCGCGACTGGGGCGGCAGCAGGGCAGGGCCGCGACTTGGCGGCGGTAGAGCAGGGCCGCGACTGGGGCGGCTGAAGGGCAGGGCCGCGACGCGTCGGCGGCAGCGCAGGGCCGCGACAGGGCGGCGGCTGGACGGCAGGGTAGGGCAGGGCCGCGACGAGCAGCGGCAGGGCAGAGGCCGCGGCGGGCAGTAGGGTCGGGGCCGCAACGAGAGGCTGCAGGGTAGGGCCGCGTCAGGCGGCTAGGGTAGGCCGCGACAGGCGGCAAGGCAGGGCCGCGGGTGGCGGCAGGGCAGGGCCGCGACTAGGCGGCTAGGTCAAGGCCGCGACTAGGCGGCTAGGTCAGGGCCGCGACGGGCCGAGAAAGTAGGGGGCCGCGACGGGCCGTTAGGGCAGGGCCGCGACGGGCCGAGAAGGCAGGGCCGCGACAGGCGGCACTAGGGCAGGGCGCGCGACTGCGCAGGTGAGGCAGGCGCTAGGCGCGCTTCGGGCAGGGCAGAAAAAAAGTTATCGTGGTGGGCCCTAAAAAAAAACGTTCCCACGAGGGAACCTGCTCATAATACCATGTCATAATAGTGAAGGAGGGAATGACTGAACTAGCAAGCAGGTGGGTACAAGTAGGAAACCTAAAAGTGTTGTACCCTGTATGAACTGCCCCACTACAGCCTAGACAGACTATAGTGTATAAGTTTGATAGGTAACCCGCGCTCTGGACCTTTGCCTCGACAAATCCCAACCTCGGCACTAGGCCCGTAGCGCACCCCAATTCCTCACGTTACCGTTACCACTCTAGTTCGCTATATATTCTTCGCGCATGCCTTCGCTCATTGTATTGTTTTACTTCGATAGTGCAATTCTCGCTCGCTCGCTCGATTGCACTCGTAACACTTGAAATTCAGAGCATACGATCTCCTCTCGGACCGCACCCACACCTTCGCTTCCTCATTGTATCTCAATTTTGGGAGGGGGTAGACGTCTCTCAGCGAACAAGCACCGCCGCTCGAAGTGCTCTCTCGTAAGCACGCACGGCCACGACAGAGGCTTCGCTGAGTTTGCCCGACACCCCTGCCATGGCCGAATTTAATCTCGCGACATTGATGAAGGAGCAGCTCGACCGTCTCGTGCGCCAACTCGAAGTTTCGGCGCTCGAAATTGCGGCACTCACGGCGGAACGCGACTCCGCTCGCCAGCAATCGACGGTGAATGCACCAGCACCAACACATGCACATGCAAATGCACCTGCACAATCGGAGGAGCCGATCGTCATCTCATCAGGCACACCGACACAGAATGACAGCATGGGACAACGCTCAGGCGTAGCCAGTGATGGCGCCGCTCACTCAATGCCTGGCATGGAGAGGAACAAGGCCGCAACAGGCACACAAGGGCCTCGCGAAGTCCGCCGGCACGTGGATTTCGCCGCAACGAGTGGCAACAACGACATCATGGTGCCGATGCCACTCAAGCTGCAGCGCCCACCCTGCTTCGATCCTAGCCAACGTGGAGGTCCGACATTTCAATCGTGGGTTGTCACGATGAACGTTTTTTTCGACGCGAATTACGTCGAGTCGGGCGCAGCGAAGATTCGCTACGCAGTTTCGCGCCTACGAGCCGCCGTCGCAAGAGGGAGGGTCCTCAGGTCCAGCCTTCACATGGAGTTCTTTCTGTGAAACCGCCCAGTACAGCACGTGGGATGCGTGGTGCGCAGGGCTTCGGGCGCGCTTCGAGCCGATTGCGGCTTCTATTTCAGCGCGTCAGAGACTGCATACTTGGCGACAACTCGAGCCGGTCCAAGACTACACGAGCGGTTTTTTCGCATTATGCGAGCAAGTCGGTTACATTCACAAAGCGGAGCGGGTGGACCGTTACGTCGGAGGGCTGAAGCCGGACATCTCGCACGAAATCATGCTACGCGGGCTCTCGAACTTTAACGAGATCCTCGCGCTCGCCGAGAAAATCGATATCCTACGCCGACCGAGACCGGGGTTCTATTACGGACAACGTTCTCGGGGACCGGCCGAGCACGCCACTGTATACGCCATTGCAGCAAATGCAGATGCCCCATGCTTTGCTTGTAACAGGCCGGGCCATCGCAAGAGCGAATGCCTAGAGGAGCTGAGGCGCCGCTGAGCAGAGCATGGGAGGGAGTCTCAGAGGCAGGGAAACGCCAGCAGTCAGTAGAAATCGGGCCAACTACTGACGAGACAACCTGCTCGCCCAACCTCACCGACCCTCACCGAGTCACAGAACCGATTCACGCTATCGATCGGGCTCGGATGAATAAGGAGGGTACAGCGACGGATTTCCCAGTACTGATTGACGGGAAAATCCTGGGAGCAACAATGAAGTTTTTTATAGACGGAGGAGCAAGTCACAGCTTAGTTAATACCGCAACCGCACGGAAGCTGCAACTAACACTTATTCGGTGTTTACCAGAGATAGATGCACGCTTAGTCGATGGCATGCCACTGGCCATACGGGAAATCGTGGAGAGAGTAAAAGTCTGCTGCGGGAGAAACTTCGGGTTTACACGGGAAATGCTCGCGACGACACTGGATGTGCACGACATTTTACTGTGACGTGATTGGCTGTGACGCTACAATCCGCGAATCGACTGGACGACGTGTAGCTGCACTGTGCGAAGTAGCGGTAACTGGGTCGAGCTACCTTGCTGGCAGTCGCTCAACGGTCCACGTCAACGCCATCACAATGAAATGGGCCGACGTGTATGCGGTGGATATCGCATTGGTAGGAGAAGCAGAGCACCCGAGCGATTTTCAGAAACTGCTGGCAGCGGTACCGCCCAAACTACAGGAACTGTTGAAACGGTACCCGAGGATTTTTCCGGACGATTTACCAGAGGGACTGCCACCTCAGTAGGTGCATGATCACCGGATAGAATTAGAACCGGGGGCACAGCCAACTGTACAGCGACAGTTTCGACTGACACAGCCCGAGCTCGATAAACTGAGGAAGCAGCTAGATTACCTGTTAGAGAAGAAATTCATCCAACCGAGTTCACCGCCGTTCGCTGCACCGATACTGTTCACACCGAAAAAAGACGGAGGGTTTCGTATGTGTATAGATTACAGAGCACTGAACAGGGTAACAGTCAAGTCGCGATACCATGTTCACTGCGCCGACGAACTGATAGATCAACTGCGAACAGCATGGGTCTTTTCGAAAATATATTTACGGGGAGGTTACCACCAGATTCGGGTCGAACCATCTGACTGCGCCAAGACATCATTTAGAACTAGGTACGGGTCATTCGAGTACACCGTGATGCCATTCGGGCTGACCAACGCACCGGGGACATTTCAGATGACCATGAACGAGGCGTTTAGGCCGCTCTTAGATAAATGCGTGATTTACATCGACGACATCCTAGTCTACAGTCGTGATAAGCAACAGCACTTAGCAGATCTGGAAGCAGTGTTTAAAGTTCTAGACGAGCACAGACTACTGACCAAGGGTTCCAAGTGCGAGTTCTTCCAGGATAGGCTAGAATTTTTTGGGCACGTTATTTCGGAGGCTGGAGTTGAGATCGACCCAAAGAAGCTGGACACGGTGAAAGCGTGGCACCCCCCGACGGACATCACGGAGCTGCATAGTTTTTTAGGGTTCGTTAATTATGTGCGTCGGTTCCTCCCCGACATGGCACGCTTAACTGCCCCGCTGACAGATTTACTGCGGAAGGGGGTCGCTTTTACGTGGGGTGGGGGGGGGGGGGGGGGGGGGGGGAAGAGCATGCTGCCTTCTCTGCCCTGAAAAATGTTCTCTATTCACCACCCGTACTACGCATCGCCGACCCACACCGCCCATTCGAAGTGGTTACAGACACAAGCAACATCGCCATTGGAGCCGTACTGCTACAGGATTTTGGCAACGGTTTACAGCCCATCGCATACGAGTCACGAAAACTGCATCCGCCCGAGAAGAATTACCCAATACACGACCGCGAAATGCTCGCGATCGTGCATGCGTTCAAAGTGTGGCGCTGTTACTTGACCGGCGCAGACGTGACAGTACGGACAGACCACAAATCACTACAGTACCTACGCGCACAACCCCACCCCAACCCACAACAGATCCGCTGGCTCGATTTCCTCGAGTCAAATTTCCATTACACGGTCACCTACAAAAAAGGAGCATCGAACATTGCCGACGCACTGACCCGCCCCACTGCCCAAATCCATGCCATACTACTCTCCCAGACCAGCCCGCTACTTACAGGACTATTTACCCACGGCTATCAAACCGACCCGTTCTTCACAGGTGTGCAAAGGGGGTTTATTACGTAAAAGCTGGCACCGACCGCATCTGGGTACCAGGCTACACTTTACTAAGGGAGCTATTACTACAAGAGGCATACGTCAGGGTTACCTCAGGACATTTCAGAGTAGAGAAAACATGGCAGCAGCTGCAGCGGTATTACTACTAGCCCGAAATGCTGACCGACGTGCAACGACACGTGGCATCGTGTCCCACCTGCCAACTCATGAAGTCATCACGGAAACGACCGGCAGGGCAGTTAAAGCCGATACCACCCCAGAGCGTGCTTGGCAGCAGGTGACGATGGACTTCGTTACAGGGTTACCGGCTGGAGCAGACTTCGTTACAGGGTTACCGGCTGGAGCAAGTGGGAACGACGCGATCCTGGTCGTCGTCGATCGGCTGACGAAAATGGCACATTTCGCAGCCTGCAAAAAATCAATTACAGCCGAAGAAACAACCCGCCTCTTCATCTCCACCGTCATTCGACTACACGGGATACCAGCATCGATCATCAGCGACCGCGATACAAAGTTCACCAGCAATTTCAGGCAGAACCAGAGGCAGCAGTTCGGCACGCGACTACATTTCAGTTCTTCATACCACCCCGAGACCGACGGACAGACAGAACGGACAAACCAGACCATGGAGCAGCAACTCATCCGAGCCACGTGCGACGACCCGACCACCCGGGAACAGCAACTGCCACTCATCGAGTTCGCGTACAACAACTCGCCATCCGCCACGACCCAATAATTACCATTTTACCTGAACTACGGACAAGACCCCACATTACCCATGACTCCGAAACCTGACAACCCAGTGCCACGCACGCAACAGAAAGTTTACAAGCAGCACGGACCCGAGCAGCAGACGCAATAAAAAAATCGAACATCATCGTTAAGCGTAACACCGACCGCCACTGCCGACCCGTCACCTCCCTGCTGACTGGTACGTCAGCCCGTCATTCCACGTCAGCCTGCTTCGCCCATACGTACCATCCACCAGCCAACTGCCTCGCAACCGCCCCGCCAGCATGACACGACCGCCGACAAAACCAATCATCATGCCCGAAAAAATACTGAGCCACCGAGTACGTGACCCACGGGGAGCCCGCAGGATCGAATTCCTGATCCGCTGGAAAGACCGCACGCCCACCGAAGACAACTGGGTTCCCTTGGATAGAATTGAGAATCACCCTGTCCTCACTAAGTATCCGCGCAATCGAAAATTTCGAGATGTACACGCACTCTCGTATGGAGGGCCTCCTTGGGGAGGGGGGTAGTGTAAGGAAAATTCCTTTTCCTTACTTCGCGCCCCTGCTTACCGCGTACAAGACCATTCCCGCCATCGGCACCCAAACAGTGAAACGTTACCCGCTCGCGACACTCACCTCGACTACGACTCCCGTCACCGTTCACGACGCGACCCAACCTCACGGTTCGGTTGGTAACCCGAGCTCCGGACCTCCACCTCGACATATCCCAACCTCGGCGCTAGGCCCGTAGCGCACCCCAATTCCTCACGTTACCGTTACCACTCTAGTTCGCTATATATTCTTCGCGCATGCCTTAGCTAATTGTATTGTTTTGCTTCGATAGTGCAATTCTCGCTCATGAACTCGCCCTTCTAAGGTTGTTACTGAGTCATCTTGGTGCCGTTATTCCACACCGTCACTCACACCGCACAAGGGCCAAACAGACAAAACAAAAATTAGCTTCTAACAGCTGTCAGTACTACAGCATACAGCCTGGCGTTGGTCAGTCAGTCCTACGCTGCGAGGAATCTTCAGCAGATTTTATCGGCCAAACCAAGTCGCTGTTTCGTGTGAACAGAAACGCTGCTGTAGGCGATATTTATTGTTTTGTTTCTTTGCAGTCTTCGACGATAATAATTCACGCCACCGTCATGTGTGGTTAAATATTTCCCTTCCTCTCGCTTGTAAACTACAGAAAGGTTCATGTCGACACTACGATTGTAAACAAGTACCACTCTTCGGACTCGCCTGTTGTTGCGCCTTATTGCCGCCAAACCAATTTCATTCAGTGAATGTTCCCCCGCCGGCATCCTTAGCCAATAGCGTGACATGCCCCCTGTGGGCCCCGAATGTAGATAATTCCCTTGTCCTCTACGAGTCCAGGGTGCTGCCACTGGCATGCTTCTGTGATCCACGAGAGACAACATGACATTGCATGGCGATAGGGCTTGGGCGTGCCGTGAGCACGCGATTGTGAGGCCAAGCAATACGCTGACGGAGTGGAGCCACGTGGTGGGTCGAAAATTGCTCGATAGGTAGTCGAATGATGACTGTACAGTTACGTGATACGGAGATTGTGAAAGCGGCGCCAGGTCGTCTTTCGACAGGAACCGTCAATCGAAGGTCTGACGGAACTCTGTACTCTGCTCGATTTGGTACTGGATTTGGTATTAATGACTCATTAACGGAGAGATGGTTGCTCGAATGCTAACGCGCCGCACTTCCCGCGCTGCCCCTTCCAGCCGTTCGCGCTGTCACTTCGCGCGAAGTTTCCGAAAGTGGCACGCCAGGTCACTTCTTGTATGCAGCTGAAACTGGCAAGGCAGGGCTGCCTGGGGTGGCGGCGTGCAACCTCTCTTTCCGAAAGGACGGATGCTGCTCTTATTAACTTCAAGTTCATTTTAGCGATAAGTTATCGCTTCTCGCCACCGTCATATGAATCGGTTGTCTTAGTTGCACTTAACTGAGGTGACGTCCAAGGAGACTTTCAAAGTTCGGAGTCTGCGGGGGTTCTCACATCCCACTTGCTTCCGCTGCTCGCGATCCTTTGTCACTTGCGCTGCTTCCGCTGCTCGCTGCTTCCGCTGCTCACTTTGTCAGTTGCGATCCCAAGCAAGGTGAAGCTCCAGCGACAATCTGCAGCGACGACTCATCGATGGATCCCTTCGCTCGTCTCCCCGACGATGTGCTGATCGCGGTCCTCTCGCGCGTGGGCAACTCGGCGCGTGACGTCACCCGGGCCGCGATGACGTGTCGGCGGTGGAATGAAGTGACGCGGAACGCGCCTGCGCTGTCCCTGGGATCGAGCGGCGGCGGCGCTGCTGCTAACCAAGCGACGTACTTAACGTTTGAGGTGAGTGTTGGGCCTCAGCCAGACTGTGCCATGGCTGACCTAGAATTCTGCGTCTGTGTTTAATCTCCTTCGTTCTGGCTTTTGTTTTCGTTTTTGTCATTTTCCTCTGGCGCTCACTTTCCGCCCTCAATTCCCCCACCTCCCCACTCCCACGCAGCGCCGGGCCTCGCAAATGATCCTCCGCACCTGAGCCTGCGCGGAGAATACTTTCTTTCCTCTGCCACTCACTTTTCCGCCCACTATTCCCACCTCCCCCCACTCCCACATCAGCGCCAGGCCTCGCGGATGATCTTCCGCACTCGCGCCCTGCGCCACCTCACCGTCATCTCGCCTCCCGCACCGCCTGCTAACGTTGGAGGGCCGTGCTGCCCCCGGGGTAGCCAGACGCCATCAAGCGAATGTCACAAAAACTCCAGCGAACATCCCAGTCCCACTGGCAGCGCACGTCCCAGTACTGACTGCGCCGCCGGCGCTTCTGCGCTGCCCCGCCATCCGCGGGAGTTTATCTTCAAGGCGTGGATGCGCCACGCCGGTCCTTCTCTGCACTCTCTCACTCTCTCCCGCGCAGTTCCCGACGTTAGTTCCCTGAAGCGCCCTCGAGGCGGTTGCGCCAGCGGCACCAGCGGTGGCAACGGCGGAGGCGGCGACGGCGACGGGAGCGTGGTGGTGAACCTGTGGGAGGAGGAAGACGCGAGTTTGCATCTCGCGCACATCTCCCGCCACTGCACCAACCTGCGCTCGCTCTCATTGGGCCACGTGTCCCTCTCCGCGCCGACCCTGCTCGCCGCTCTCCAGCCCATGCCGGCCCTGCAGCACCTCTCGCTCTCGTGGCTTCATGCGTCTCCTGCCGCGCTTCACGCCGTGCTGGAAGCCACGCCGAATCTTCGCCAGCTCACAATTTTCATGGCGTCGGGCTTCCCTCACCTAGAACTACGCCTTCCCCCGTCCCTTCAGCACCTCTCGCTCTCCTACATTCGTGCGGACTCCGTAACGCTTCTCTCCGCGTGCTCCCTCCAGTCCCTCTCTCACCGCGACATGTTTCTCGGCACGCTATCCATCCGTGACGCGCCAAACCTTCGCCAACTCGTCGTCGCCTCCGCCAACAGCCTGCTCGTCTCCGCGAATCACTCTAGCCGGCTCGAATCAATCGACCTCCGCGCAGGCTCGCTCAATTGGGCAGCCACCGAAACCCTAATTTCAGCCAATTCGGCTGCGCTCGAGTCGCTCTCCCTCGATTTTTTTGCCACCAGCAGCTCGGGCCTGCCCTCGGTTTCGTCGCTGCCCTGGCTCGCTCGGAACTGCCCGGGGTTGAGAAGTTTGCGGTTGGGTGCTCTGGCGTGGCAGAGTATGGTTGACTCGGCTGTGGTGTCGGGTCTTCTACAGTCACCGGGAAAAAGTGGAGCATCTGGTACACTTAATGATGGCTGTTTGTGGCCTCGGCTAGAAGTGCTTACAGTGAGAATTGTGGAGAAGACACCTGAAGGCCTGCTTCTGCTTCATTCCATTCTCTGTAACATCCCCACACTGAAAGCCCTGCATGTGACTGTGGAGGGGGAGGACGACGAGGAAGTGGAGGAGGAAGAGGAAGTGGATGTGGATGAGAAGGAGTATGGAGATTGTGATGCTACTGGCATAAATGAGTATGAGGAGGAGGAGGAGGGTTACCACATAGACAGGGAGACTAACTACTTTTCACACTCTCCTGCTCGACTTTCTGTTGCACGGGCCTTTTCTGATCAAACTGAGCCTGACACTGGACTGGCTAGATTCACTCAGCCTGTGGGTTACGGCTTTGCACTGACTGCAGCAGAGAGACAGCACCAGCTGTTTTTGAAGGGCCTGGATTGTCTACAGAGGCGGTTTGGATGCTTCCATGTAGCCTCCCCTTGTCTTCACAGGAGGACGACTTATTGAAGCTGAGATGAGATGGTAGTGGTGGCTACCTTTCCGAAGAATGAAGGTTTTATAAGGCCCAGAACCTGCTGGGCGCTTGAGCTTACATCAAGATAGAACTGGCAAACGAGCTGTCAGGTTGCACAACAAGAAGTACGGTGCTGGTGGCTTGTCACAAATATATGGAACTACGTATGGTGGTATTCACTAATTATCATTATAAGCATTTATTACTGTAATTTGTTTTTACACGCTGTACTCGTACAAATGGAATTTCCTTACCGTGTCCGCTCACGCAAACGCGTTTCTTTCCTCAGCCTGCTGTGTGGCTCACTGCTGAACTGCTGAATTGCTGAGAAATTTGGCAATTTGTTTGTGAAACTGCTGAACCCAACGCTCAAGGACCGCAGAGAACCACTTCGTAACACGGAAATCTTATCTTGTGGAGATACTATTTAGTCGTCCAGCCCTAGTTGAGCCATTTATTCTCTCGACTGCCGAGCGGTGAATAAATGGCAAGCTTGAATTCACAGCCTACTTTTCCTCCGTTGCTCGTCTAAGTAGCGAGCCATGGTTGTAACATCCGGCGTCCGTTAGACAGTCTGTACCCGTTACCGTGGTTACTCTTACTCAGTACGATTCTATTTGATACTAGAACAGAGCGACGGCTCAGACGTTATGTTAACGGTCTGAGTCCTGAATCATCGTGGTTCCTGATATCTCTAAAAGCATCGATTGCCTAAACTCAAACAGTCAACCTTTTCCCGCAATGTCTGGTGAGCGAAGCGCAGATGCCGGGGAGGCCGTTCTCCTACTCGCGCTGCCGCACGTGCGCCTTTTTAACGACCTCGTCGCCTTACAGCGCGTATCGCGCTCCCTCTACCGCACCGTTCGCGACTCGCCCTGTTTCTGGCTGCGGTTCCACCATCTCCACGTGGAGCCCTTCCCAACCAGCCACCGCCACGTGTCCGCTGTCCTCAGCGAAACAGCGGCTGCAAGAACCACTGAAGGAATTCGACCAATTGGAACGCGCAATGTTGATTCCCAGCAATTCGCAGCGCTGCCTCGTTATAAGCTGGTGGAAGCGGCTCTTAAGGTGTACGCGCGGCGGTCCCAGGGGCAGCTGAGGGAGGTGGTGCTGGACGGGGAGGACGTGCGCGGGGATGTGATTATAACGGTGCTGGCAGGCTGCAAGCAGCTCGAGAAGGTGCGTGTGTCTGTGAGGGACGAAGGGTGCATGTTTTGTGCTTCTGGACATGTTACATTTTTTTTTATGAAATTAATTGGGAGCGCAAGGAAGGGTGCAAGCAGCTTGAGAAGGTGCGTGTGTGAGGAAGGTTTTCGGAACAGAGGACAGGAAAAAATCCGGCCCCTTTTCCCACGCCGCGAGGGAGGGGTGGGGGGGGAGCTGGAAGGCTGCAAGCAGCTCGAGAAGGTGCGTGTGTGAGGGAGGAACGGTGCATGCGTCTTTCATCTCTGAACGTGTTCCCGTTCGCATTATGTGTGCAGAATTGATTCAGAGTGCAAGATCGTTGCATTCTATCATCTTATCATGGAATCAACTCATCTTCACCCCCCCACGCCCCCCCCCTCCGGCCCACCCCTTTCCTCCCCACTCACTCCCGCCGATTTTCCCGTGCAATATGCCGTTATGTGCAGCTTTCTGTGAGGATGTGCACGCACGTAAGCTCGTCCCACATAGTCACACTCCTACAGTCACAGTGGGGCACGCTGGAAGCATCAACAGCATCAGCATCATCATCAGAAGCATCGCCATTACCATCACAGCCAGCAGCACCATCTGTATCACCACCACCACCAGCACCACCAGCATCACCACTGGTAGCAACACTGGCGGCATCATCATCCCTGCTCGCAGATTCCCCCTTGGAGTCACCTCCACCCATTCCACCCTCTTCCCTTGAATCTACACAGCCTGCTTACCTTGAATCCGCTCAACCAGCTGCCCTTGAATCTCTTCAACCTCCAGCCCCTGATGCACCTCAATCTGCTACGCCTGAACCGCCTCAAGTCCCCACAGCTGCAGCACTGGCCTGTACTCCCCGGCTGTGGCAAGTGCGCATGGCAGGGGCCGACTGCCCCTCTACAGACTTCCTCTTTATCCGCGACATGCTCAAGCATGCAGCTGCAAGCCTCCCTGCACCCAGACGTCCGGTCCCCGAACCTAGTTCCGCAGCTGCAGGCAGCTTCGGCAGCACCACCCCCATCAGCATCGGCAGCAGCACCCCCATTAGCACCTGTTCACAGATTCTCACGGATCCCGTGCTTTATAAGGCTGGCATGGTTAAAGAAACAAGTAATATTGGTAATTCTAGATGTGACTATACTGAAGGGCTATCTTTTGCTCCTTTGGATGGAGCATCTGTGAGGGGCTCAGCATCAGAGGGGCTGGTTCGAGCAGGGGAAGCGAGAAGCTCGGACTCGTTTCCGGGCAGGAGGCTGCAGATTGTTTCGGCCTGCCCGTCCGCTCTGGACATTGATTTCTGCCCGCGCTGTGCCAACATCCGGGCAGTTTTGGACTGCCCGACTAGCGTGCAGTGGCGGCAGCATCTGGAGCGAGTGGCTGAGGATTCAACCTCCATCAAAGTGCAGGCAACCGTGCGGTCTCTCCTTAAGCAGCAGGTACTGCAATGGCTGTTGTCTTACCATCTTGTTGTCTCACTCACAGGTTGTCTCACTCACTTGTCCCACTCATTTGTTGTCTCACTCACTTGTTGTTTTACTCACCTGTTGTCTTACTCTCTTGGAATCTTTCTTGGTGTCTTTCTCACTCGTTCTCACTCGCTTGCTGTCTCACTCACTTGTTGTCTTTCTCACTGCATCCCTCGCTGCAATTTATGTGGCTCGTGCACCAAGCACATGCATGCCCCTCGGCCTGATTCAAGCAGCACATGTTTCGATCGACTCACATTGTCCCCTTCTCTTCCCTCGCTCCCTCATTGTGCCCCCAGGCCTGTCGTGGCTGCCTGCGCTGCATCCCTCGCTGCATCTTCTGCGGCTCCTGCACCAAGCACACATGCATGCCGCTTGGCCAAATCCAAGCAGCACAGCACCTTGCAGCACAGCAGGGGTCCCTTGGAGGGTCAGATCCGGGCGGCCAGATTTTGGAATCTAGTGATGGTATGGGTAGAGGATTGGAGGACCCTCCACTATATGGTTCGTCTCTTACTCCAGCTGCTGGTGTTAGTTCGCATGAAGATGGGGCGGTCAATGTTGGAGAGAGGGAGGCGGTGGATTTGGCGTCTATGGGATGGGTGATGTGTGGGTGTACGCTTTGTTCCAAGGAGCAGTGCACATCGCGCATGTTGACGTGTGTGGGGTGCAACTGGCGGTGCTGCCCGTGGCACATTGACAAGTATGCGGAAATCGCGGTGTCAAGTGCTAGCTTTGTTTGTGAGATTTGCTCCCACCAGGATAGGGATCCCATTTATGATTTGTAAGGGGCTCTGTTGATTTGAGGCTAGCTTAGTTTGTGTGTTTTGCTCTATCCAAGTTGTGCTGTATTTGCTTCTTATGTACCATATAAGATTGTGAAACACGAGTGCAGTGCATTTAACTCACATGTCGAGAATCATGCTCGCTACTGTCGGGTCATTTTGTTCTCCTGCGTTTGTCAACACGTCCTGCTGCACGCCTTCTCCACGCCTAGAGACGAGGGGAATGGGCCGAAGTTGCCTCATGCAGGAGTTGCTTTGCCTCTCAAACCAGTCTCGATTGACCCGAATCGCCCCCCTTATCGGCCTAAATCGTATGCAACGCGTTAGACGATGCTTGCGATTCCTTCGTATGCGAGGCGCTTCGGGAACTCTCTTCCTGGAGTCGCTTGGTCTATCAGAATGCTACATAAATCTCCATTTTCATCGAAAGGAGCGGCCTCGCTGACTCGTCTAGTCTCGCTTTGTGTTTCTCCTGACTCGCCGCTATGTTCGAGAAGCTCCTCGTTGATTTAGCGACCAAGCTTGGTGTTCGGCGACCAGTGAATATATCCCAGTCTAAGCTTGGGTTTCCCGAGTGTCCCGTTTGGGATCACGAGGTCGAGTTTTGCGGCAAAGTATATAGTGGCATGGTCGAATCGCTGCAGAGACTGTTAGCATTTGGTGAATTTCGTCCACCTAATCCGTATAAATACCATCTGACCACTGGTATGGCTACGTTTAAGCAGAGCCGTGCGCGAGAGGTCGCGTACCGAGCCGCGTTTCGCAACGCGATTACAGGAAAGGCCTCCTGCTGTGAGGAAAAGTCCTCAGCAGACGCGGCGACAGTTGCGAAAGTAGCTGAAGAACTCGCGAGGCCTATCGCCAAGGGAATTCTTCAGGTTGATTGCCAGTGTATGTTACTGAACACCCCTAAATATCAGACCGATGAAACTCCTGCCGGTCTTCTCTCAACCAGGGTTCAATTGTCACCAGACCTGACTCTGCAGCCGCGATCATATTCTGGGCATTCCAAGACAGAAGCTGAAAGGGATGCAGCTTTCCGAGTATGGCTTGAGACCTTCATCGGTGGAAGTCGTGTTGAGGGGGGCGATGGGGGTCGCGGTGTGGGGGAAGAACAAACAATGGACTGGTTAGATTTCCGGGATGTTGCCAGGATGCGTAGGTATCTCCGTTAGTTGTTTCTTCATGAAGTGTTGCGTAATGTTCAGTGGACAATGACTCATACGGTAAGTGCTTTATAATGCCTCAGTCTCAGACAGTTTCCTGCCTGTACAGCATAGGGGATGCTACGTGGAAGCAACCAAACCCGCCTTTGGAGGCAGTTCAGGCCCTTAAAAACGGCCGGTGCTTTTGCTCTCCTGTTGTCAGTGCAGGCCAGTAACCCACAGGCGTAGTGGGCTCGGCCAGTGCAGCATCAGCCACCCCTGAAATATGACTTTTTTCGAAAGTGTGTAACACTTTCCAAAAATGCGTATTGTGAAAGCGCAGCTGCCTGTAACGCAGCAAAGCAACGGCAAATTACAATTTGCCGAGTACATAATGAGAATGGCCTCCAACCACGACTTCATTTCGGAACTTTGCAGTTCCACTCATTCTCGTCCAACCACTTCTCAGGTTCCTGCTTGTCATAATCTTACGGAAAAAGTGTGTGTCGACTATCGAGGGAAAAGATACAAAAGAGAAACCAAAGGGGTTGTACCCCACAGTGAGTACCCCACTAAGCCTAACCAAACTATAACAAATATGCACATATGTTTGACACACCCCCATAGGCAAAGTGGGGGAGAACAGAGGGTCACAAGACCAGTCAGGAAGTGCAAAGCAAGCTCAGGGTGGATCACAACGTCACCACGCAGTCTGAGCACAAGCAAGAAGGCCACAAGGCCAGTTCACATGCAGAAATATATATGTAACAAGCATGCAGGAATACATATAAATCATGGTACAAACAAGGCCTACAGCAAGTGAGGAAGAATGGGCACAAGGCCTAACAAAGTGCAGAAACGCTGATGATCACCAGGCGGAAGCGCCTTGGTGAATATATCAGCAGTGTTGGCCCGAGTGGCCACGTAGGTAAGACGAAGCTGGCCACGCTGCTGCAGCTCTCGAGCAAGAAAGTAACGGAGAGCTATGTGCTTTGTTCTGTGCTCCAGTCTGTGCTCCTGACACAAGGCAATGGCGGCCTTGTTGTCGACGTACAGAACTGGAGGAGAACGAGGCCTCTCTCCCAAGTCGGTCAGCAGGTAGGTGAGCCAGCGCAGCTCCTGTGCAGCCATGGCTGTGGCGTAGATCTCTGCCTCACAGCTGGAGCCTAGAACTGAAGACGAACGTGTAGAACGCCAGGAAACTGAACCAGAACCAAGGCTGAAGGTGTAACCCTGTGACGACCGCTGCGTAGCCTGGTCGTCAACCCAAGAGGCGTGCGAGTGACCTGTGAGGACAACGTCACCCCGTCCTCCAAGCACGAGCCCCATGCCCGATGTACTGCACAAGTAGCGTAGTACCCTCTTGGCAGCATCCATGTGCACCTTTCGGTGCCGACCAGGAGCCACATAGCGAGCCAGAAGGCCAAGAGGGTACGCAAGGTCAGGACGAGTGCAAGTCATCAGGTACATGAGGCAGCCCACTAACTCTGGGTAAGGACCACTCGGCTCTACGGACTCGTCCGAAGGTGGAGCTGAGAGCGAGTGACCTGTAGCCAGAGGAGTGGCCTGTGCTGAGGACCAGGTGAAACCGAAGCGCTGAAGGACCTGCTGCACCGTGTGTGACTGAGTCAGTGTGATGGTGCGGCGTGCTCTGTCCCGGGTGATCTGCAAGCCAAGGTAGCTGCGCAGTTCACCCAGGTCTGTGCACGTGTGTCTCTTCTGCAGCTCCGACTTCACCAGGGCGAGAGCCTCAGTGTCAGCAGTGGCAAAGACCAAGTCGTCGACGTACACGAGAACGTAGAACGGCGGCAGAGAAGTGTCGGTGCGCAAAAACAGCGACGGGTCAGCAGTCGACGGAGCAAACCCAAGAGCCGCAAGTGTCGTCCTCAGTGTGTCGTGCCACTCACGTGGCGCCTGGCGGAGACCGTAGACCGGCCGCCGGAGGCTCCAATGGGTACCAGGAGGGAACGACCCAGTGAAGCCAGGAGGGCGGCGCAGCCAAATCTCCTCGTGCAGGCTGCCCTGTAAGAAGGCTGTGCTGAAGTCAAGAGAGTGAAGCTCGTAGTCACGCTGAGCGGCAACGTGCAGCAGCACCCGAAGAGTGGTCATCTTCGGGGTGGGGGAGAAGGTCTGGAAGAAGTCAACTCCCTCTCGCTGACTGAAGCCTCGAGCCACGTACCGAGCCTTGAAGACAGGCGGAGAACCCGGCGGCCGCTTCACCCTGAAAATCCACATGCCACTGACAATGTTCGCCCCAGGAGGGGGAACCTCGTCGACGTAGGTGCCTGTGGACTTCCAGGATGCCATCTCTGCGTCCATGGCTGTCTGCCACTGAGAGGAGTACTCACCCGCGATCGCCTCAGCGTAAGAGCGCGGGGTAGGGATGTCTGGTGCATCCGGGTCTCCCTCAGGGGCAAGCAGCATGGATACGAGATGAGGCGCAACGGCTGCAAGACACTCAAGGTCCTCCTGTCTGTCCTCAAGGACGTCCGTGCCAAGAGCACACTCACCCCCGACGGACGGAGGACAGACAGACTCAGACTCAGCAACAAGACTGGCGGCGTAGTCGAGACGACAGGCAGCAGCAAAGTCAACAAGCTCAGCGACTAAGGCAGACGCAGCAGCAGACTCAAACGACGTGTCAGTGACAACAGTGGCAACCAGACGCGTGACAGTAGAGTGCTCAGCACGAAACTGGTCAGACGCAGGGTCAGCAACGACAGGCAGAGAGGACGCAGGGGGAGACGGCAGAGGAACACGCAGCGGAGGAGAGGAAGGACGACGAACTACAAGGTGAGAGCTGGAGACAGCCGGCTGCCGCTGATGAGGAACACAACGACCGGAACGACCAGAACGGACAGGTGAGACGGGACGCGACGCAGGCTCACGACGCTCAGCAAGGCCCCTAGTCTACTCTGTGTACGGAGAAGGAGCAGGCAGCGGTGAGCCAGGCTGTAACGGAAGACCAGTAGACGAGGGAAGACTGAGAACCTGGCGAAGTGCAGAGTCAGGTGGTGGCTGAGACGACGGAGACGGCGGAGCGAAGAACAGGCGCTGCTGAGCAGTGCCACCAGCACCAGTAGCTGCAGCACCTCCAGCAGCTCCAGTACCCTCAGCAGCTCCAGCACCGCTAGTAGCTCCAGTACCCTCAGCAGCTCCAGCACCGCCAGCACCTCCAGTAGCTCCAGTACCTCCAGCAGCTCCAGCACCCTTTGCAGCGCCAGTACCCTCAGTCACAACACCGCCAGCCCCAGCAGCTCCAGTACCCTCAGTACGAGCACCTCCGGGACCAGCGACACCAGCAGAAGAACCCCCAGCAGTAGAGCCCTGAGGTGCAGAAGCGCGACGCTGACGGCGACCGTACCAGTCGTGCAGCTGCTGGGAGGTGAGGGGCACACGCGGACGAAGACGGCTACTCCAAGGAGACCGCGTAACAGCAGTCTCAGAACCCTCAGGCGACTCACCCCCAGACTCAGCACCCCCAGGCTCCGCACACGCAGGCTCAGCACCCCCAGACGCAGCACCTCCAGACGCAGCACCCCCAGGCTGCTCACGCTCAGCGCCCCCAGACTCAGCACCCCCAAGCTCCGCACCCCCAAGGACAGCACCACTCGCAGCAGGACCGGAGTCACCAGTGACCTCAACAGGCGCAGGCGCGGAGGGGTCTACCTGAGAGACACCTGAAGGAGCAGGACCTGGCGCGGGGAGGGGGTCTACCTGGGGAGGACCTGGGGCGAGAAAGAGCGGCGGGGGGGGGCGAGGAGCAGTGC